CACAGAGCTGAGCTGAGCAAGATGGCGGCAGCATTTGCCGGCCCCCGAACTCGGACAACTAGTAAAAAAAGAAAAATGCCTCTGCGCCTGTTTGGGACTATTTTGGGTTTACACGTCGCCAGTGACTTCATCCAGCACAACGAGAGACAGAGGCACTTCTTTGGGAATGTTTAAGACGGGGTGAGTGAGTGTTGACATTTTTTTAATCCTATGCAACTGGTTGATGGTTTTGTAGTCGAGGTCGGACGGTTTTAAAAACGAAAGCATTTACGTGCTAAACATTCACGCGAGTAATCCAATGAATCAAATGGAAATAAGGTTTTTAACACATGCACGGAATAATATTGCCAAACTAGTTAGTGAATATAGCAAACTTTATTCAATAAGTCAAGTATTTACTCCCGGAAAATGTTTATGTATGATGATATATTTTTAACTTAGCTCACAATGGAAACAACGTCGGACATCTACAAACGCGTCCTGTATCCGATCTCAAAATGTGCCATTTGCACAATGTGTCATGTATGCAGCCCTTGTTTTGCACTTGCGCGCACGTCGCGGCACTTTGCGAGCGTCTACCGGCTCGGGCTGCATTTTACACCGAACATATAATATACCGTTCGAAACATCTATTTGCCGCCGAACGCCACCTCGCTCAAGTCGACCCAAGTCATACCGTCATATACCGTATACCACGGTATGATGTCAGCAAGGTATGATGGTATGAAAAAAATTATACCGCCCAAGCCTAGCTGTGACCATTTCCTTTCCTTGATTCTTACGGGTTAGGGTTAGCTGTGACCATTTCCTGTCCTTCATTCTTACGGGTTAGGGTTAGCTGTGACCATTTCCTGTCCTTCATTCTTACCAGCTTTCAGTTTGATCGGCGCCCAGTCGCTGTGAATCTCCAGGACCTCAATCAGTCGGGAGCAGAGACGGACATGTCCGACGTAGTCCAGCAGCAGCGAGATGATTGGACCGGCGACATGGCAGAGGGCCAGGCAGGAAATGGCCTCACAGAACTGAAAAAGATAGAGGAGACCCTCTTTATAATCCTAATGACCAGGTTCATATAGTGTTCAGCAAGCAAATGGGTAATCAGTGATGATCAGCTTCATAGAGGCGGGTCACATGGGACCGGCTACATCAACAACAGGTTTTATCATCCTGGTTACGGTGGAGAAGAAAATAGGTGGTTTGGTTGCCTTGACTATAAAAGTGTTAGGGGTTGTTTCTGGTTTCAAGTTTTACTTTTTTTCCCCACTATGAGGACAACGCACACTTTTCTTGCCTTTTAGTATCAGAAAGGGTGTTACATGCTTCAGTTTGGATACTTCTGATTCACATGAATGCAACGCTGCACTGACCTGCATTTCCTCGTTGGGAAAGCCGGACGGCTGGACGGCCAGATGTGGTTTTTGTCCGTATGGACAGTTGAAGCAGCACCCGGCGTCGCAACCGTTGTCCAGCAGCAATTTGAGCATGGGCAGTGACTCCATCCTCAGGAGGATGGCTGCTGGAAACGAGGACGACTGGGTGGGGATCTGAACGTTGGCGTTGGCGCCGTACCTCAGCAGCAGTGCGGCCATATCTATCCGGCCCAGCCGCACAGCGATGAGCAGCGGGTTGAACAAATCCAGGTTGGGGTCGGCTCCGGCCTCCAGCAGCATCTCGGCCGCCTCCAGGTTCATGTTGTGGACAGAGAAGCAGAGCGCCGTGCTACGCCGGTCCTTGTACATAATGGTGAAGGCCTCCGATAGCTCGGAGTTGACCTCAAATCCAGACTTGATCAGCAGTTCCATGATTTCATCCTGGTTCTTCTCTGCCGCGATGTGCAGAGGACTAATGCCGCTGTGCTGTACTCTGACCATGCTGGTCACCTGGATCAGTAACGACACGATTCTGGAAATACACAACACATCTGTCAGGGGGGCAAAGGGGATCTTTATCTGGAGACTAACTCACACCACCAGACCTGTTTTTACTTTAGACAGAAACAAGCTGGAGACAGGGAAAACAAATGCTGTATAAAAGGGTTAGTCTGAATCGGTACACCTGATTGGTAGAGCCCCTGGCAGATTGTACTGGTTTAGGTTCAAATGAGGTATGAATCAGTGAGAGAGAGCTGTCTCACACCTGAAGTGGTTGTTCTGGACAGCCACGTGAAGAGGCAGCAGGCCCGACTTCATGGAGCGGTTAGCATCTGCCTTCAGAGAGAGCAGCACCTCCACCGCGGAAACATGGCCGTTCTTACAGGCTTCAAACAGCGGCGAGGCTCCGTCTGCCGCCTGGCCATCTATATCTGCACCTAAAGGGACCAAAACCCCTTTAGAAACCCCGTAACATCAGCTCCTGACGGATTCTGGTTGATGGGCAGGTGCGTCGGCTCACCTTTCTTAGCAAGCAGCTGGATGATGTCGGCATGCCCGTGCTGTGCAGCAATAAAGAGAGGCCGGATGCCGTAGACGTTTTTGCTCTGGAGGTGGGCTCCGGACTCCAGTAACATCCGGCAGAGCTTCAGCTGGCCGTTCATGCAGACTTCATGAAGAGCGCTGGCCCCCTGAGCGTTGGACCGGTTCACCTGAGCCCCACCCCTCAGCAGCAGATCCACAATGGCCTCGTTGGGTTTCTCACAGGCTAAAAACAACAACAATTAAACCAGAGAGCGGTTCGTCACATGTTTCTGTATTGCAGACCGTGGACTGACCACCACCACGTGATTATGGATTGCGGTTTTGAAATCTCAAGTCTGCCGTTTTTCTCTGTCAACATTTCATTTAGTTTTTAAGGAAACGAGGCAGCCAGGTCTAGTTGGTTATCTTTGATTTTTCCAACTCCTGAAAGATGCTTAGATGCTTAGTGTGAGGAAGAAAATCTCCTCAGAAATTGGCAACGTTTGGGCTGGGTATCAGAAAGGATAAAGGTTTAACAAAATGTTTTGTCTTCACTTTCAGATCATCAGGCTCGCCCTGAGGGTGATATCCAGTTTCAAAACCTACTGAACTTTAGGGAACTCTTATTTTCTTACAGCACGGAGCCTCGTAACTCACCGATGAACAGCGTCGTCTCTCGGTCCTTGTTGGCGATGTTTGGGTCGGCTCCGTGCCTCAGGAGGAAGTCGACACAGGAAACGTTTCCTTGTCCAGCGGCCAGCAGCAGAGCGCTCTCACTCTTCAGACTGCATCGGTTCACTGAGTCGGGAAAAGCTGAAGACGGACACAGAGGTTACGATTTATGTCACCTCTAAATCAAATTAAATATATGTGATAATTAAGTACTTAAATAGGTTGAAGTGTCATTTTTGAGTGAGCCTATATTTGAGTGTAAGGGGTGCATTTACCCAGAGGTTCAGATTTAAGGCAGGTATTTTCAGTTTAGGAATATGAGGTGATATCAGCTGAAGAATGGTTTCAGGAGAGGTAGAATCATAGAGATATAGATGGATTCTACTTTCAGGTCACGATATTGACAATATCAATGATTTATAAATAAAGATAAAACATGACCCATTATGAACTCCTGCAAGAAATCAGGAGAACATTTCTCTTTTACCGAACTGAATGGGTGGAAAGGCTTAATGCCTTATAAATATTATATTTTATATAAACCATAACGTTGGTGTAAAAACTGCCTCTCACCAGGAACAAAAAGCCTCACCTGTGACGAGGACTGAGACACACTGCATCTGTCCATAAAAAGCAGCTTGATGGAGAGCGATCCAGCCTTCATCGTTCTGCTCCGTCAGACTGCTGGACCTCCGCCTGACCAAATCCAGCAGAGCATCGGCCTCTCCGTTCATGATCAGGGTCTGCAGAGGACTGAACTCTCTGCCAAGAACCAGAGACTCGCTATGAGGACCACACAACGAGAACAACATCTACAACATGTACACTAACATCTAACTGATGTCTAGCAAACATCTGGAAACATCTAGTTATGGCTAGCAAACATCTAGCTAATGTCTAACTGACTTGTTTGCTTTGTTGATGTTTGCAAATGTTTGTAAACATTTGCAAACATTTGCGGATAACACTTGATATAAGATATATTTGCAGATGTTAACCCCTGCTAATATTTGCTAATACTTGCAGATGTTTCCAGATGTAACTTGGTATGAGATGTGTTTGCAGATGTTTGCAGATGTAACTTGGTATGAGATGTGTTTGCAGATGTTTGCAGATGTAACTTGGTATGAGATGTGTTTCCAGATGTAACTTGGTATGAGATGTGTTTCCAGATGTAACTTGGTATGAGATGTGTTTGCAGATGTTTGCAGATGTAACTTGGTATGAGATGTGTTTGCAGATGTAACTTGGTATGAGATGTGTTTGCAGATGTTTGCAGATGTAACTTGGTATGAGATGTGTTTCCAGATGTAACTTGGTATGAGATGTGTTTCCAGATGTAACTTGGTATGAGATGTGTTTGCAGATGTTTGCAGATGTAACTTGGTATGAGATGTGTTTGCAGATGTTTGCAGATGTAACTTGGTATGAGATGTGTTTCCAGATGTAACTTGGTATGAGATGTGTTTCCAGATGTAACTTGGTATGAGATGTGTTTGCAGATGTTTGCAGATGTAACTTGGTATGAGATGTGTTTGCAGATGTTTGCAGATGTTTGCAGATGTAACTTGGTATGAGATGTGTTTGCAGATGTTTGCAGATGTAACTTGGTATGAGATGTGTTTGCAGATGTTTGCAGATGTAACTTGGTATGAGATGTGTTTCCAGATGTAACTTGGTATGAGATGTGTTTCCAGATGTAACTTGGTATGAGATGTGTTTGCAGATGTTTGCAGATGTAACTTGGTATGAGATGTGTTTGCAGATGTTTGCAGATGTAACTTGGTATGAGATGTGTTTCCAGATGTAACTTGGTATGAGATGTGTTTGCAGATGTTTGCAGATGTAACTTGGCATGAGATGTGTTTGCAGATGTTTGCAGATGTAACTTGGTATGAGATGTGTTTGCAGATGTTTGCAGATGTAACTTGGTATGAGATGTGTTTGCAGATGTTTGCAGATGTAACTTGGTATGAGATGTGTTTGCAGATGTTTGCAGATGTAACTTGGTATGAGATGTGTTTGCAGATGTTTGCAGATGTAACTTGGTATGAGATGTGTTTCCAGATGTAACTTGGTATGAGATGTGTTTCCAGATGTAACTTGGTATGAGATGTGTTTGCAGATGTTTGCAGATGTAACTTGGTATGAGATGTGTTTGCAGATGTTTGCAGATGTAACTTGGTATGAGATGTGTTTGCAGATGTTTGCAGATGTAACTTGGTATGAGATGTGTTTCCAGATGTAACTTGGTATGAGATGTGTTTCCAGATGTAACTTGGTATGAGATGTGTTTCCAGATGTAACTTGGTATGAGATGTGTTTGCAGATGTTTGCAGATGTAACTTGGTATGAGATGTGTTTGCAGATGTTTGCAGATGTAACTTGGTATGAGATGTGTTTGCAGATGTTTGCAGATGTAACTTGGTATGAGATGTGTTTCCAGATGTAACTTGGTATGAGATGTGTTTCCAGATGTTTGCAGATGTAACTTGGTATGAGATGTGTTTGCAGATGTTTGCAGATGTAACTTGGTATGAGATGTGTTTCCAGATGTAACTTGGTATGAGATGTGTTTGCAGATGTAACTTGGTATGAGATGTGTTTGCAGACGTCAACTGTGTTGATGC